CTTTAATTCACTACCGGTGTCCAATGGATTTCAGTTTTTTATGTCTTTTATGGATTTGGACATATATATATATATATATATATATATATATATATATATATATATATAAATACACCAATATGTACATTATTATGAATATATAATATATATTTACATGTTTATATTTACCTGTAATTTATTTTTAACCACCCTTGGGAAATAGCGACCATCTGGTTGCTCGAAACTGAAGGCCAACTGATTTTCGTCGTCTGTATGTATCTGCACCAAAAGATCTAAGGACAGAAGCAGGACAAAATATTTACTGTGTGTGACTCAAAACATTTGCCATAATAATCCATAATCATTCAAAATCAGATTAAAATGAATAGAATCCTGTCAAGATGGAGTGTGATAGATCATTGGGGCACTACATTGGTAACTCTGCAGTTATTCTGTTGTTTTGAAATAGTTGCGATCGTTATAAAATAGTTGTACCGTTCTTTTCGCCACCTTGAAGCGGAACGGTGCACAGATTCAGTGTTCCGCGGATGTTTCGGACTGTCACAAATTGCCCTTCTTTACTCGTCAGAAGATGATTGGTAATGCCCATGTTGTCTCTTCTGTGGCGTTCTGGCCTGAGGGGAAGGAGAGAAAAACCTTTAATAAGTTAGCTTCAATGGTCACTGTGGAGCAATGCTTTTCAATAACCTTGCAGCTGAGGGGAGCAGAGTTTTCTTTCAGCAGATCGTGTTGCGCAGTCAAGTTTGATTTTGACATGAGAATGTGCTTCTGTTTCCACCTGCTCAGTGCGACTCTCATCGGTCTCGACTGTGTTATAGATTGCTTGGCAATGATACAATAATGCAGCAGATTGTGTCATCACACAGCAGCAGGAACAATACGTGCGCTCCATATATCTACTGTCTAATTATGTCTGGATCGCATTTGATTTCGGTAAACTGATTCGCCAGGATTCCAATTTCATGCAGAGATATGTTTTAAAATTCAACTTCAAAATTCAAGCTACTCAATTGGAAAATATTCAGGATTCTTCAGCTGGACTTTTGACTCAGTCAGTATGATGCAATCCATAACTACATCCCAACTGCAGTGCCTGCTTTTATTGTATCCACTGTACAATTAGCATTTGATTTTTTGCCAGTGAAGTAAATAACATTCCTGTCTAGGAGTCAAAGCTAAATGCAGCAGTGGTTACATTTAACGAAGTGCATCTGCTTAATATATTTAGAAGCTTTAATTGCTATTAATATGTAGAATAAGACACAATATCTTCCAGAACCTATGGCAACATCTTTAAATGTCTTGTTTTGTTCGACCAACAGTTCAAAACCTGAACGAAACAAAATGTTCAATGATACAACACATATGAGAACATTTGTCATTTTTGCTTCAAAAAAATGAACCAACGACCACATTTTCTGAACAGTTATTATTAAAGATTAAAATGATTTGTCAGACGATGGATTAATCGATTGATCAACTTCTCCTATCAGCTCTATAGCTGCATGTCATCCTCCCCGTTTGTGCTTGTGTGTATTAAAAGGAAATATCAGATTTTTCCAAGAAACAGTCCAAACCGCAAATTATTTGTTTTCATTTCACTGTAATGTCTGACACGGATTCAATTATGACTAATTGTTTTTGATAAGCATTGTATTTAAAAAAAATTCTTCGTATGTTTTATATGTATCTTAACTTGTAGAGTAACGATAGCTGTCAGATAAATGTAGTGAAGTAAAGAAAGTGCAATATTTCCCTTCTGAAATGTAGTGGAGCAGTGGTATAAAATGTCATAAGAATGGAAACAAGTAAGTACAAGTAAGTAAAGTACAAGTACTTCCAAGTTAATTGAGCTAATAATCTGTCATTGTGAATGAAGGACTGATTAAAGCAATAGATTCTTCCACCGCTGGCTATTTAGTTGAACTGTTGGAACGTGAACGCTTCTCCTGCTACAGTGGCACCTTGGTTGGGTTAAAGTCCCGTTGTATAAACACTGACGAGGTAATATTGCAGGCTATTCCTGGCAGCAGGCTGTCGGTGCAAAACAGCAGGAACACCGAGGCGCACGAGTTAATTATATAAATTAGAGCTTCCCATTGGTGCATTAAAAAGGTAGATTCATGCTAAAAACACCTGCAGAATCATAATCACGCTGCAGAGTAAAAGGTGAGGCGCAACAACCAGGTGCCTGGATATTTGCGAAGCTGGTGTGCATGTTAGAAATAAATCAAGAGTCGCTTACCTTCAGTGATGGTGAAGTACTGTGAAGTGAGTCGAGTCTTGTAGAGTCAGAGCCTTGTGGTTCGTAGAGAAAACAGCGGAGGAAACCTTTTAAATATCCGCAAACGCGCACTGACGCAATGCGCTTCCTGCATATTTGCAACGTGTGCCAGCAGGACGCGACCGGGTGGGATGGACCGAAAACATGCAATTCATGGAAGGAAACTGTTCCAACAGGTAAAATAAAGTACGTTCGAACAATTCGAATTACAGAAACTACATCTGACATCACTCAGAAACTGGTGTGTGGTGAAATACTCAAACTCAGCTGAATCGGGTATTTTTCCACCAAGATGCTTGATAAAAACTCCTAATAACTGTGGTTTATTTGAATTTCCCGTTTCTTGTGTTTTTTCTTAACTGCAGTCTAATTTTACCTTCCACCTCCTTATCCCCCCCTCCTGTAATACATGGATCCAAGAACATTAACACCAGATTTAATGAATAAAGTGGCTGTAAACTGAGATGGAGTCAGTTTCCAGATATTCAACAGGCCGGATTAACACAGAAGGGGGCCCGGGGCACAGAAACAGCTGTGGGCCCCTTTAGATGCCCACCATGTGCAGCACTGTGTGTGTAGGCGGCGGGCTGAAGGCTCCTATCTGCTTTGTTTTTTAAATGTTCGATCATCAGTGACAGAGCAGGTTTTTTACAGATAAACTAAATGCATTTTTAATAATATAAGCGGATCATAAGCACCATAATGTAAACCAATCAAACACCTCGTTATAGCGTCACCTGGCTGAATGCTATGTGTTCAAATAGGAAGTAAAGAAATGGATCAGAGGAATTACTGAAGCTCAAAAGCTGCTGTCAGGGTCATGTTTAAATTTTCAAATTCATATTGTCTTTTTTAAATAGTAATACTTTGCTCCATCCTTGACAGCCAGTAAAGCGCGTAGAGACATGTGTGATGATGTAGGGGGTTGTAGTTATTCTTCCAACATTAGAGTTTGTTTACAACATCTGTTTCTCCAGCTAACCCCAGATGTTCAGAGCCCTGAATTTGCTCAAATCCAAAGCGGTGAAGTCAGATGATTGATTTCTGACTGACTACACTGACACACCACCTGGCCCATGTTTACTGTGTCATTTCCAGGTCATGGTTATCTGATGACACTAATTTATTTGGAAATATGTCATAATTATATCAATTTAAATAGCAGAATAATCTAAATTAGATTTTCACACATGGTTACAAGCTTCAAAGGTTGTTTTGTTTTTTAATTCAGGAGCAGTCTTAACACCCCTCACAATTTAAATTGGGATTTAGTAATTGACATTTCCAGATAAATTAGAAAGTAATCAAATCATCACAAACAAATTGCCAAACTGGGGCTATGTATAAATACCGTAGGTATATTGTTTCTATATTGCACTCAGCTGTTGAAAATAAATGCTGAAGAATGACTTGAACCAAAGTTGAACTGTGCTGACACAATTGTCAATACGGGAATGGCGCACCCACACACACACACACGCACACACACAGGCATGATGAAATCTGTGTTACATCACTCACTGGGACCGATCAAAAAAGCTCTCCAAAACACAGGAGCCCTTTGAGAAACGCTCCCCTCTAGTGGCCGACAGGGGAAGAGGACCTGAATGCTGAACTGGTCTGGAGGTGGACAGGGGAAGAGGACCTGAATGCTGAACTGGTCTGGAGGTGGATCGACGTTAGCAGAGTTCATTTGACAGACTGGACAAATATGTATATGATTACAGGATATTGTTTTTTTTCCCTTCCGTGACATAAAATCCAGAAATACATTAATTGGACTGATCAAATATTATTGCAGCTGTGGAGAGGACAGACTGCAGCGTATCATTCGTGATTGGCTGCAATCTGCCCTTCCCTTCCAGGACATACACTGCACCAGGGACCTGAGGCGCGCAGGAAAGATTGTGCCTGACCCGTCCCACCCTGGATACTAACTTTCTGAGTCATTTCCCTTTAGCAGGAGGCTGCGGCCTATCGGGATAGGGGAGGTTAACGGTTAACAGTTAATCGGTTAACCATTAAGAACATTTTTGGCCGGTTACGAATGTCGTTCCGTAGGTGAAATTACAGTCTTGATATTAATCTAACAAGGCCGGCGAAAGAAAGCTCCAGGGTCCTTCAGAGTGTGTGTGTTTGAGTCCAGCAGTGTCTTTCTAAGAGACAATTGAAGAACAGTTGAGAAGGCAGACAAATTAGCAGTGTAGTCATTTCATTTCAGAATCGATGAGTCATCTGATCGGCTCCTCCGATCAGCCTTCACAGGTCAAACTATTTATAAATGCGGCGCCAAAGCTCATCGAGTCAATGGAGCCTCTTGTGTGTCACCACATTGTGTTTTGTTCTAAATAATGAAGCCTTTGGTTACCGTTTAATGGGTGTCGGGCTATCCAAGGCAAAATTAACCGAAACCAACATCCCTAATCAAAGATGAAATTAATTAGGTCGTCATACTTCACACACCTTTGATCGATGCAGATTTGCACCACTTTTTGGATTCAATTCACTGCACCTCTACTTGTCAGTTATAGGCGTGCCGAAACCCTTTCAATTACATTTCATGCCGTTATATAGTCAGTTTCAGTTCGCTACAACTTCAAATAATAATAATATGTTTTCTTGATCACGGGTGTCTGTGTGATAGTAGCTGTTGTGTATGAGAATCCATATGCTAAAGATAAAGAAGCACAAGGTATATAGGTTTACAAAAACAAACCTTTAATTCACATTACTATGTACAACACATTATTTGAACAAACAATGAGCATAAAATGATAAAACAAATAACTTCTTCATGAGCGAGCGTGAGAAATCCCTTTTGCCAGGTCCTATATTTATCAAGATAAAACGCCTTCTGTTCAGTGAAATCTCACCTAAGTATGCACATTAGTTTGACTTTTTTCTTCCTGCCACGTGCCAAACATCTGGATCTCGTCTCAGACTGCAGACGGGCGGAGAGGAAGCAAGCACTTGAGGCTAAACGGCTTCGTCGTAGACCAGCTGGACGAACACTTTGTCTTGAAGCGCTTCGTTCTGTCTGTAGACGTACATCGGTGTGTTGCCAGCAGGCGGGCTCCTTTCCCCGCCCTTCTGCTCCTCGCTGCTCACGTCGTCCTCCTCGGAGATCAGGTCACTGTAGGAGGCCACGCAGAGATCGTGGTCCCGGAGGGCCGCCGGGTATCGGAGCGAGGATCTCTCGATCCGCACCGAGCGTCTGACCGGAGTGAAGAAGCGAACCTCCTGGCCGTTGACCCGCACCGCCTCCGCCTGCTGGCCTGGAGGGCCGCTGAAGGGAAAGAAAAATAATCGTCATCATTTCCAACTTTTATCCTCCGAGAAATACTTGTGGCTTTATTATGACGCAGCCAGTTCAGAAGGTCAGCATATCACTCACTCTAGTGACTGTGCCTAGTGTTTCTTTTCCCCAAAAATACCCGTGGAAAGACGAGTGTGTGTCACTGCCTCTTTCAGAAGGACAATGATGTCACGTCCTTACATTTAACCAAACTCAACTAGTGTCATCTAGCGGTGCGCTGCAGGTTGTAACTAACTAAATTAACCCTTTGCTCACTCGTCCCTGGCTCAGCCTGTCGGAGAACTACGGTGGCCTTCAGGTAGGGAGAGTTACTATGTTTAGGATTTTATTACAACTAGGAGCTACTCTTATCGACAGTATACTCTTAAAAACATATATGGAATTAAAAAAACGAATCTAAGAAAAACAGACCGCAGGGCTTCTGTTTAAGCTCGTTTGTAAAAACAAAGAGAGAGAAAAAGAGTTTTTGGCTGAGCGTGCATGCTGTGCACAGGTTGATCCAAGTTTTTCTTCAGCTCTGGATATCTAACAAATGTGCACAACTCCACTCAACCCTTAAAACGAACCGGCCAGCATGATAAACATGAAAACATGGGTGCGTTCCCAGAAGTTGTGGAAATGACTCAAACGTACCCCGGGGTTGCCGTGATCTTGTACTTGACTACAGATGAGTGTCCTCTCTCTCCACAGATGAGAGCTCTGACAGGTTTAGGAGTCATCATTGGGTTGTTGACACTCTCTGGAGTGACTTCACATGCTGCTATTTGGTCCCCCTCTCTCTCACTTTCTGCAGATGCTGCCAAAAACAAGAAAATCTAAGTCAAAGGTTTTTCTTTAAAACGTTATCATTCGTACGAATCTTGATTTTATTTAGAATTGACTGGTGAAATTACAAAATCATTGGAACCTTAAAGCTGAAAACAATGAATTTATCGACCAACAAGCTGTAAACATGGACAGATCTCAAAACGTGTCATTGGTGTGAGCAAACAGTGGCGTATTTACAAAGAAAACTAACTCTTAGTTAACTCTTTACCTGCTTAACACTCTACTATGTTCACCAGCCAGTACCCAAACGTTTCTGTTTCCATCACGGCAGCACACAGCTAGCTGATACAGCGTTTCACTGAAAACTCCACAGAATTAAAGTTATAATGATTTTTGTCTCAGGGGGAGGGGAGGGCCTGATCCCTAAACCTCCTTTAATTGAAGACGTTTGAGCTTCTTCAATTAAATTTTGCACTACTGTAAATTATGAGGTAATGGTTTGTGTGCGTAAAATGTAGGAATGTGTAATAATAGAACATGTTTGTGTTGAATTAATGCAGGACTAAGGACCATCATGAAACTAAATACATTAAATAGAACTTTCTCCCAGATGTATCGGCATAACACACTAACATCTGTATCCAGACATGCAAACAGAAAATTAAGAGAATGGAACAAAAACAGTGTGTTGTAAATGGAACAGCTACCGTGCCTACATGGGGGATTAAACCTACAAACATTCACTCAGGATGTCGTAGAACTCATGGCACGTAGAGGACTACGATAAGAAGCGGCACATAGCATAAGGCAAAAACAACGAGGCCATGTCAAACGAGGCCATGCAGGCTGAACTACCTCGGATCTCGTCCTTTTTCTTCAGAATCTCAAACACCACGGAGCGCAGCTCGTCCACCGGCTGCGATCAAAGAGAAGCACAGAGAAGGAATGATTAACTCTCGACTACGAAACCAAATAAACCGTCTGATCACAGTCAGGGATGGATTCATGTTATAAACATGAACTATGCAGTGAGGGATGGATTCATGTTATGAACATGAACTATGCAGTGAGGGATGGATTCATGTTATAAACATGAAC